TGTTGGTAGCTTCAATGACACTGTCCAACCATCTCGTCCTCTGTCGTCCCCTTCTGTTGCCTTCACACTTTCCCAACATCATCTTTTCCAGAGAGTCTTCTCATGAGATGGCCAAAGTATTGGAACCTCAGCTTCAGGATCTGTCCTTCCAGTGAGCACTCAGGGTTGATTTCCTTCAAAATGGATAGTTTTGTTCTCCTTGCAGTCCAGGGGACTCTCAAGTGCCTCCTCCAACATCACAATTCAAAAGCATCAATTCTTTGGCGGTCAGCTTTCTTTATGGTCCAGCTCTCATGTCCATACATCGCTACTGGAAAAACCATAGCTTTGACTATGCGGACTTTTGTTGACAAGGTGATGTCTATGCTTTTTAAAATGCAGTGATCGTGGAGCCCAAGAAGGTGAAATCTGTTACTGCCTCCATCTCTTCGCCTTCTGTTTGCCAGGAGGTGATGGGACCAGTGGCCATGATCTTCTAGAGCACTGGTTCTTAACCTTGGGTTACTCAGGAGTTTTGGACTGCAACTCCCAGAAGCCTTCACCACCAGGTGTGCTGACTGAGGTTTCTGGGAGTTGCAGTTCAAAAGCATCTGAGTAAGCAGAGTTGATGGTGAAGGCTTCTGGGAGTTGTAGTCCAAGAACATCTGGAGGCCCAAGGTTGGGGACCACTATTCTAGAGGACAGTTTAAAAGTGTGCAGCCCTATTGCCCATAGCTGTTATCTCAAGAGCTTCCCTTCCAAAAGGCTTCTTCTAGAGAAATAGGTGTGCTTGAATGGAAGTGGAAACTAAGAGTATTTGTGTTTTGTCTTCTGGCTTATAAACTACAGCAAATTCCCCTTAAAAATGATGAGAGACAAAATCTCTGCTATGCCAACAAGATTGCAAAACATCTATGAAAGCTGACAGATTCAGTTTCACAAGCTCTGGATTCTACTATCTTGTCAAAAGAAAGTCCAGTTTCGAACATGTGGTAAAATACTTGCAGTATTAGCTGAAGCAATTTTAAGTTTTAAATTTCTAGGACCAATAATTCACCTTCCCGGAGCTGTGTGGAGAGAAAATCACTTTGACTGATGATGCTGTGGCTGCTTAAGGTGGTACCAATACT